GGAGGGAGGGAGGAAGGGAGGGAGGGAGGGAGGGAGCATGTCTCTCTTTTGTGCACTTCTGTTTATTTTCCAAATCCATTATGGAGGTTTTTGTGAACCGAAAATAAGAAATTATATAAAAACAACGTGTTTTGAATGGGTTAATTTTTCAAACACCCACAATACTAATACACCACATTCATTCAATTTGATTAATGGAAACTTCCACATATAAAATTGGACTACTAATAAATACAACTATATTTTCATATTAGCTTTTTCCTTCTTAATAGATAAGTCACAGCCACTTTTTAAAATTTATTTATTTATTTTATTAATTACGGTTTGTTCACTTTGTATCCCCACTGTAGCCCCCTTCCTTGTCCCCTCCCAATCTCACCTTCACTCCCTCTTCTCTACCCATGCCCCTCCCCCAGTCCACTGATAGGGGAAGTCTTCCTCCCCTTCCATCTGACCTTGTTCTACCACATCTCATCAGTAGTGGCTGCATTAAGGAAGATGAATCTAGGAAAAGTCAAATCAGTGTTCTTCGATCCAGTCCACGAGGTCTAGCTCTGAGGGCGCACTGGAGCTGTACGACTGTGTAAGGTCCTGTAGTGGGATACCTGGAGCCAAGCAGCTCCTCATGGAAATCTCAGGGTGTTGCGTGCACCAATACTATAAATGTGGTAGGGAGAAAGTACTCACTTTCATGCCAATCGTGGGCAACTTGGACCTTTAGTCATCAAGGTTTGTCTAATGTGAAAACAGGCTGCTTAGTTCACTGTCAGCACTGGTTGAACCAGTCACAAACCAGAAAAGGTTTGTCCTACAGGTAACTTTGGATCACAGTATGCCAATAAAAAGCCCTCATTTGACCTTAGCTAGGACTTCATAAATATTTATACTTAAGGTCTTGCCTGGATTTAGAACCATGAGCTATTGTGAATGAGACTCTAAGAAAAATGGGAAATCAAACGGGACTGATAATTATATCCTACATAGAAAAAGAAACCAAAAAGCTTGAGTTTCCATATCCATTTGGATTTAATAACACGCACCTGTTAATCACCAGTACTGATTAGGGCTATGTCTTGTTCTCTTCACCCCTCATCCGTATGGAACGTACCAGGTTTTGGTAGACTGAAGGCTGATGGAAGAATAAGAAAAAGATGAATCTGGAACCTACTCTGTCAATTATAAGCTGATTCTCTAGATAATCCACACCCTCTCTGTTCTTTTTCCATATGAGAAGTCACACAGCTAAGCTGTCTGATCGCTGTTGGTATCACACCCTTCCACAATGCTATGCAGTTTCCCTGACATTGAAGCAGATCATACTGGAATATCTCCCTATCTAGGAGACAATGGGTTCTACATGTGGAAGCACAGGCTTTGTATTTAGAGGCCCTTTGCCAACAAAGGCTACACAACTGAATTTAAATTCTCACCCAACTGCAATGAGTTGAATGTGACACCAAGTACAAAATGGCAGTTTTATTTCCAGGCCTAGGAAATGAAGAGTCCAGGATGAGCCGAAAGAGTGACCCCTAATTCCCCACAGCCCAGAATGGACACTGTCCACTCACCCGTGCTTCAGCTGCTCTCACAGAGCACGTTCCACTCTGGAGCTCACAAGCACAACACAGAAAGATGCACCTTAATGTTCTACCCACACCTACTCTCCGAGGGCAGTTCTCTGAGCCCAGCCCTGAAGATAAATCAGTGCAATGTCAATTTATAAAAACTAAGTATTTCTCATAGTTGTATGAGACTGTTGAGCATATTTGCACTCAAATACCCTACCACTGAGCTCTATGCCCCACTCATGGTATTTGAACGTCAGCTATGAGAGAGTCCAGACAGTGCAGCTCAGGATTCAGGCATGCCTGAGCTTCAGTTCCACCTAAAAACTGAGGGGCTTCTGAATCACTAAAGCAGTGGTTCTCAACCTTCCTAATGCCACAACCCTTTTGAACGACTCCTCATGTTGCTCATGGTGACCCCAACCATAAACCTATTTAGTTGCTGTTTCATAACTGTCATTTTGCTTCTGTTATGAATCATAATGCAGTTATCTGATATGTGACTCGTAAAGAGACTGTGGCCCTCAAGTGCAGAACCTTTGCTCTAAAGTGATAGATATTTAAATTTCATTCACAGGAAAGGCTAAGTCATGTTTACTCCCTGCTCTTTCCCTTTAATTCCATCAGGAGGAACACAATGAAGTAAAGGTCAGGAGCATCCTTTCTACGACAGAGAGTGAGATCCTGCCGCTTACCTCTCAGTTCTCCATTCTCAGTTGTCACACACTTAAAATTGACATTTACTTGTCTGTGTCTCCTTAGTGTCTGTGCACGACCTCTAAGTCAGGAAAGCCACAAGTCACTTACTGGGTGAGCATTTCTCTAAACGTGTTCAGGTTGCCTGTCGTGGATTTCAGCTGATGAAGCGTTTTAGTCCATTCACATCGGGCACACTTCACTGCGGGATGATAATGACGGAACAGACACGTCATCTTTAGGGGCACCGCTGTACAGTGGTAGAGCCCCATAAACAACTCTGGCATTCGATGCACCCCCTCAAGTCTCCGTGGTCACTGCTGAGGGGTCTTCTCTCTTCCTCTCTTCTTACAGCCATCAGTTTCAGATATTTCTTTGATTTAATGCCTGTAACCAGTCTAGAAGATGAGGTCGAGTTAGTAGTGAGTCTAAGTTTCAATTTACGTTACCAATTGTTTATTGATAGATTTGACTCTGAAGGAATGAACATTTATTGTAAGCCAAGTAGCCAAAATCACATCCCAGAATACAGAATCACATATTTAGTAATAAAAGTTCATCAGAGACTGTTAGGAAAAAGGAAATTCTCTGATCTTTCATTAAAAAGTTATGTTTATTTTTCCTATAAGATAGAGACTCTTAATATTTCAGATACCGTGATTTAAATCATGGCAATGAAACCCAGAGAAAAGTGTGTGCAGCTGTAGAGATATCCCAGCACTCAAAAGCAAGCAGTACTTTCCCACAGGACCCAGATTCACTTCCCACACTCCAACTGCTCAGCTTACGGCTGCCTATAACTGCAGATCAAGGAGATCCAATGCCTTCTCCTGCTTCTGGGGGTGCTTCTTACATCCTGTGCTTATACAGACAAGACATATACATACATATAAACAATGACCAAATACAACCATACATTACAATCAACTGTGTTAAGATTAACTAGAACGATTTGAATTTAAGATCCTATTGATACTGAGTATAGGTGCAGCTTAGTTGGTACTTGATTTTCACCAGAGAGTATTTAGTGCAAATGATGGGATAAATACACTGACAATTAATATTGTCTAAAAAATGTAAAAATGAGACACCTAAAAGTGGACTTGAAGGTAACTGTCCCCCGCAGTTGATCTATCTGAAGCTGTATAACAGTTTTTCATTGAACTCACCATTTCCTTTCATGGGTTTCATTCATTCTTTCTGTTTCCTTTTGGATTTTGTTTCCTACACTTCTACATTTCCCTCTACAAAATTCTGGTCTTGAAGATTTTAGTACTCCTTAGTGACTTACAGCAGACACCTCTTCCCTCAGAGGGAAGGGACTACATGACATTGCAGCAATCAGGCAGAAATATTTGCAGGTGTGTCTCATTTGACTGTATATAAATATGTAGGGAACCATCTGGGTTTAGTTTCAACATCTGGTTTGTCATTCCTAGTACCTTCTATTTCCAGAATGACACTAAAATATTTCATAAATATTGTGATAAAATCGTTTTTATATCTGTTACACGAGAGCAGCTCTGTTTATAATATTTTCTCTAACAAATGCATTTATAAACATAGACTGCTGAGATGAACAAATGCCTCACATTAATAATGATCTTTAATTATGAGAGAAACCACATGTCTCTCATTTCAGTTTAAGCCAATAGAATGCCATGTTTTCGAAAGGTTAAGAAATGTATTGCCATGGCTTTTCTCTGGTATTGAGACGCTTAAAGAGTTGAGTCACTTAGACATATTCACATTTTTTTTTCTTTCTCCTCCTACTCCCTCCAGTGTTTTAGCTGAAGAATATGCTTGGCTTTGTATTATCTGGCTCCAAATTGTGGATGTTCAACACTTTCCTCTGAGGCAGATATTTGAATTGAGTTTTTCAGTCTCCTTTTTATGTGGGATTCTGTTTCATTCTATGCATTTAGCATGGGTAGTATTTACCCATCTGTTTTATGGTACACATCATTATTATTAAAACAATCTTTTCTTGTAGTGTTGCTAGAATAACTTCATTTGCTCATTACAAAGGCTTGAGTTTGTTGAAAAATCCATGTTTACCAGAGGAGAAAATATTGAGGGCTCCTCTGTTCCCATTTTTCTTTTTCTGTGTTTGTTCCGCCTCTTACTGAAGCTATGCTCCAGATCATCCCTAAGCAATGCTAGCAACTGCTTTAGCTATCAACCCATTTCTCACCCCGCCAGTAGACTCTTACCAAAGAAACCAATATTAAACTCACTAAGAAGAAGTAAACTTTATCTTTGTTTACTTAGGTAAATGAAGAAAATCGTATCTGCGACCTGGGCATGGTTCAATGGATAAGTGAGATTGCAGTGAGAACAAGAAGACCTGAGTTCAAATTGCCAGCACCCACGACATTACCACCACTATTCCTTCTACTCAGTTCTTTAAAAGACAGTCAACATACAGGTAACATTATATGGATTCAACAGGTTATATTCAGGAATAGACATGTTACATGTATGCATTAGTATTAGTTACATATATGCAATAGCAATTAGTAAAAACAAATAGGCCACGTATTTGAAGGAGAGCAGGATGCATAAGTTGGAGAGTTTAAAGGGAGGAAAGGGAAGGGAGTAAGTGTTCTAATTACATTCTAATCTCAAAAACTAAAAATAAAAAAAATGAAAATGAAAAATCAAGCATGGACTGTTCCCCTAGCTTTGGAGAATAGACACAAGGCACCAGTTCCTGGCCAGCCAGTCGGGGTACACAAAATAGTGAGAGATCCTGTCCCAGAACCTGAGGTGGAGGTGATTGAAGATACACCTACAAGCCTCTGACCTCTGCAGAGCATGCTCAGGCCTGTGAGACCCCTACATTCTATAGGAACAATCACAAAGTTGAAGAACATCTAGATGAATTGGGTAAAATAACTTCAATAGGAAATAAACAAGATAAAATTGTCCCAAAAGGCAGTCTTCCTCCCGGATCCCTTTCTTCTTATTCTGTACTATAAGAGGTTCACTCTGGAACCAGACAGGCCTAGGGCAGCACATGCTGACCTTTGACCTCAGCCTCCTGCATACTGGGATTACAGGTTTGAGCTGCCACACCTGGCTTCTTGTCTTTGGATAAGACTGCACAGGTATTATGATCTATATTATTGTCAATATAACCTGTACAGAAAATTCATTTTTCTTTATACATGGTTGGATGTAAAATTAGCAATGATGGAAAATAAGTGAAAATCTACCATCCTCCAAAAAGAAGTAGCTTAGTCGTCCTGAAGTTTAATTTTTAGATCATGTCCATAAACTTTATTTGTGTAATTTTTACCATGTTAACTTTAAATATAATTCTCAAAGTAATAGGATGAGATCAGATACTCCAAATGCAGATGGGATTAGAAGTTTCTATAGTGACAAGGGGCCACTGGTTATTGAAGTGAATGGCACTCTTGAAATGCCTCACCCTTCTAGCCACGTCTTGAGAATTCTCAGCACTGTCAGTTACAGATAGGAATTCCTTTGTAGATGTGACTGTGTGTTTATTTACGTGCCCACACACACACAATAGGCTGGAGAAAAAAAAATTGTGGCATGCCTTTGAAATATTAAGATTGAATTTTTTCAAATGTTGATTTTTTTGGTAATTAAAAATAGTTTCTCACTGGCACAGAACACCTTAGCTTTCCTGTAATTTTAGTCAGACGGTCAGTGACAAAATAGTTAGAATTTCGCATATTGTGAATGTACTGCACATTGTATTCTGTGCCGTGAGGACCACTCAGAACAGTTTGCTCCTGCCTAAGGCTGGTGTGTCTCTGTGGAAGAACTTACCTTTGTGAGTGTGAGGTTTTGGGAAAGACATACCTGCAGTCCAGGGGAGAAAGAGAAAGTAAGACATTGCTGAGCAGGTAGAAACAGACATTATATATCGAGTCTGAAATCAGATCTGCACTGGCCTCTCTTTTTCACACAGCCAAAGGAATGAAAGTGTCTAATTCATTCTTTTTAGATGGTTCTTCCCCTCCCCATGTTTCATTACCGAAGTTGGTTTATCTTTTTGAAAGTGTTATATGATTCTAAAGCTCAACTCTTTAAAACTAAGAGAATGGTTACAATTCTTAGTTTTACTTTTTAAAATAAGTGGACGTCTGAAGTAGTTCCTTTCCTCTGAAAGCAGCATTAAATCTTCTCGAATATTCAGTTTAACTTTGGTTTGAGAAAGAGGTAAGTGTAAGAATTGGAAGGAAATTCTTACATGAGACTCAGTATTTTTTGAGATGTTTACAGTTTTACCTGAAAATAAATTAAAAATAGAGAGAGAGAACAAAAGAACAAAAAATGTTTATTCACTGAACTACATTTACAGCCCTTTTATATTCAATTGAGCCTTGTAGCCCAGGCTGCCCTTGAACTTGTTATGCCCAGGCAAACCTAGAGGTCATTTATCTGCCACAACCTCAGATGTAGATAGAATTATGGAGGCAAATGACCACTCCAGCAAACAAAATGATACTCCTTAGGTGACATACACAAACTTTGACAGATTGACTAGTATGATATCACCAAACAAACAATAGTAGGCATATTGCCTATAAGAATAATCAACTTAATACAATTTATTTCATGAAAATCAATTACAATAGCCTGAGATGTAGAAATTGGCAAGAAGGTACATACATACCTACATTATAACAAGCTACTTGCAGTTTTATTGTGACAGTGGTTTTGAAATAGGAAAGCCAAATGAAGAGTAAGTTATTGTCATTCTTGGAATGATTTTCACCCTCAGGAAGACATTACCAGAGAGGAACAATTCTATGGTCAAACAGAACCTAGATGACTGTCCCTCTGTATCAGAGCATGGTTAGACAAAAAAGAACAAAAAAGGTTTTAGGATACAGACATCTATCACTGGTTCTGACTCATTCAGAGTCTTGTGAATATGGACAGGGCATCCAAACTCATAGATGCTATTGGCTATACACAAAAACAATTATGATGGCATCTACCCCCTCAAAATGCCTGTTTCAGCAAGGTTTTGAATTTGCATGGAATCTACTGAAGCGTGAACACTTCTGAGTTTTTCTTCTCCTGTCTGTATTTGTATTTATAGACTTGTTTCATTAGGAATTCCTAATGTTTTAATAATCCTACAAGCTGTATTGCTGCTAATAGTATCATACAGGTTGAGTCTATCTTTCCAGAAAATTCTTTTAATGGTTTTTCTAATGAATTTTTATCAATCTAGATGCTGAGAAAGCATACCCTACTGTGTTTTGTATTAAACTACCTCAGATTTTGTCTAAGAAACCTAAAGGCAGTGAAACAAAGAAAAAAACTAAGAGAAAATTCATTTTCTCCTTTCTTCAAATCTAGGAGTGCAGTCTTCTTAATTCAGATTTCCTAATCAATTCAACTCATCCTTTACTCTTCTCCATACATAAAATAAATATGATGACACTCATACTTTGCAACTCTCTAAGTTTTTCCATTCTTATGAATATAAGTGCATTAAATATTACATGTTTGCAAGATATTTTTAATGACACAGTGGTTGAATATACAAATCATCAGTTCTAAAGTCTTCACACTTAATTCAACAGTTTTATATTCTAGCGGGATGAAGAGAAAAAAAAACAGACTTTTTTGGCACCTGGTATTCCTTCATTTGGTAATCTTTAGAAAAGCTTTTATTTTTCATCAAGTGAAACAACTTTTCAAAGATGTATTTCAGAAGTGTGAGGCTATTTCTCTGTGGAGCATTCTTATACAGACACATTTTCCACTCTTTTGTCCTACCGTCGTGCTGCTCGCTGTTGGAAGACTGGGCCGATTTCATTTAGATTGCCTATCTTCAGGCTGCAGTACCTTTGGGTACAAAAAGAACTAGGTCCTTTTTTTACTTAGAAGGTTCCAAAGGAATGCAACTGAGTCCAGCAGAGATTAAGAATGCAGAAAGGAATAAGGAGAACGAAAGATAACAAATTTAAATTTTCAAGGAGGCTAAACAATTTGTATGAGTAAGGAAAGGGACCTTTTCAGGATCAGCCTCCATTATGTGGCTGAAGGAAAACTAAGGTATTCACCAATATCCTAATGTTACTTTAACTTTGATTATAGGTTAGTCAGCTTGTTCAGGAATTGTTATGCTGCTGGAGGAAAATAAAAATGCCTCTGCAGGGTGAGGCATTACACACATTTTTCTTTATAGCACTTTCCCCTGGATTCTATCCTCTTTTCTCCTATTTCTTCCTACTAAATTTTATAGGGTTTTGGCCACAGATTTATAGACTACAATTGATTTTTGCCTCAAAACCCCAAAGTCATCAATAACATCTGAAATATAAATTTGTAGGTAAATATTACCCCCAAATCCCAAATTGAATCAAACAAATTCTAAATAAATCAAAATGGAATCTGTATTTTTGAATATGATGATGTGAGTGTTTGTTTCTTCCTTTCTCTTCCATTCCTGTTAGAGTAAGACTGTTGTGAGGCACTAAATAATACCACACAATGCACATGAATACCAGGTCTGGGCAAGGAGCACTTTGTCAATTGGAAACATAAGCCTTTCCCCAAAACTGGCTTAAGCTGCCAAAAGGACAATTATGTATAGTTCCAAAGGAATTGAAGTGGGACCCGCACTCATTAATTTCTTCTATTTTAAGTATAAAAATTTTATGAATGACAATCACCATGTTGCTACATCATCTAAAAATCAAATTGTTTATTGGTATTATATTTAACCCAAGAGTGTAAGGACAGGTAGTGGGGGATTATGCTCTTCCAATTGTGAGCTCCATAGCCAACCCTATAACACAGGAAATATTTCCAACACATTCAGTCACACGAAGTTTCTTCTCTCCCTCCGTAGCCTGTTTCTCCTTGGCATTCAGCCATTAGAAATTAAGACCCAGTTTCCTTGGCAACGAGAGCTGTGCACACATCCTCACAAGCACTCCTTCTTTCAGATTGTTAGCTATACAAATAAAGTTTCACAAAGAGATTGCTTCAGAATAAAAGAATAAAAGAAAGACTGTTCCCATCTATTGTGACAGGCCTTAAGGTATTATTCACAGTACCTCCAATTGGACAATGTGTTTTTGTGATGAACTGAATTACCTCAGATTGGTTTTCCACATCTCTTTGTGCCTGGGAAAGCAGAATAAGCTCTTATACTCTATTTAATTCCCTCCTCAGTTCCATTAGCATCAATCCTATTTCTCTTTAGTTTGTTTTAAGGGAAATGTACTTGTTAAGTTGCCATATTACCTTTTAAGGAACTATTTCTGACTGGAATTTTAAGTATATCTCAAAGCTTTCAAGAGTAAATTGCAGTTTTTGTTTGTCCCACTTTTTCTGTTTTTTTTTTTTTTTTTTTTTTTTTTTTTTTTTTTTTTTTTTTTTTTTCCATATGTATACCAGACTCTACCAGGGGGAGAGTCTGGAATG